TCCAGCTGTGTGTAGTTGTTGACCAACCTATATTGACAGTGTTGTTATAAAGGTAACAGTCTAACTAGATGTTACCTGTGTCAATATATATATATATATAAACAGGTGAGTTAACAAGTATATTTGTTGACCTTCAGGGGAATAGGATGAGTTGCATTTCTGTATCTAAACATCCCCTTGTTTGTGTTCTTGACAGCTAATTGTCTTTGTGAATGGCGATCTAGTTACACTTTATGTTGTGTCATCAATCCCCACCATTCATTTAAAAAAAATTGTATTTTGCTGTTGTGGGACACCCATCCCATCTTGGTTAATCGCTGGTTGCACTTATGAATTCGGGGTAATGAAATTGGGTTTAATGTCCTACTGTTCTCCGACTGGGCTAATAAAGACATCATACACCTTACAGTGTGCTATGAGGGCTATTTTGCCTGGACATTGACACTATGGTATATGCTTATATCAAATTCCAACTGCCAAGGGATCTTTTACGTGCACGTCAATGTGGATACGGAACCTCATTTTTTTGTCTCATCCAAATGACTATAGGTTGTCCCTTCTCTAGCCCTCTGTCCCGTACCACTGGCAAAGGTGAGCAATGCCGGAAAATCCTGATGCAAGGATCGAACATGTGACCTCCAGGTTAGCGAGTCAACATCTTACTCACTGAGCCACTTTGGCAATTGCTTATTCAAGGCATTAGTTCATTACCTTCAGAAAAACAATTTAACATCAGCCCATTGTTTTATCAAAGGTTCCAACCTCGTGGGTTTTCTCCAGGTCCTCCGGTTACCTCCCACTGCTAAAGACCCCTACGCGCAAGTGAATTATTGAAATAAAATTAAACCATATGTTAGTCCCGAAATGACCTAGTTTGTGTCGAGGGGATGTTAAACCCCATCTCTCTCTCTCTCTCTTTATCAAAGGTATGTAAAACGATTTGAAATTTTGTCATGCCAGGTTAAAAATATATTCGCCATCACTATGATAATTAAAATTATATACATACTAGAGGGGTTGGGTGGCCGAACGGTTAACACGTACATGTTCGATTGTTCGAAGGTTTGATTGTTGAGTCAAATGACGTGATTTTGATTCCCCGCTTGTATGTGACAAGGTGTCCAAATTCATGGGTTTTCTTTGTATCCTCTGGTTTTATCTCCACTGTTAAAGACCTCTACACGTTAGTCAATTATTGAAATGAAATTGAACCCTATATTAGTCCTGAAATAACCTAGTTTGTGTCAGTGCATGTTAAACCCCATCTCTCTCTCTCTCTCTCTCTCTCTCTGTACATATCCTAAATCCTAGCTGGAAGTCAGTTTTACTTGTGTGATACAAGAAACAGTAGCCATTTTATTGTCACTTTGTTTGAAACGTGATTCCGCCATTTCTCGTGTAATTTTCCCTATGTTTGTAACTCACCGAAATTATTACCGCTTTTTCACACTGAACATTAAATTTCATTTCACCTTGCATAGTAATAATATTGTCTCAATTTTCACCTGAATTTGATAAGCAGATTATCATGGTAATATGATATATTATTATTGTGTCTATAAATGTACTATTAGACTGTATCGTGTGACTTATTGTTCAAATTATTCAACCAGAACTCGTCTACAAAGAAGCCCTCGACTGTTATAATATAAAAATACTTCATTGTGAATTTTGTAAATAGATGCCTATTATATCTCAGAAATTTGAATTTTTAAGGGTCATATTTTTATGTAGTATTGTTGTCTGAACTGAAAAAGGTTAATTGTAAATTAATAATGCAGAGGGACTTGTTATAATATACCCACGTATTAGTATATTGCGATACATTTCACATAATCAGTATAATGAATTTCTGAAAGTCAGTAAATCCCTGGTGAGATGGATGGCCGAATCGTTAGTGCGTGCACGCTGTATCATAAGGTCTTGCATTGAGTCAGCTGGCATGGTTTTAATTCCCTGGCTTTACTTGACAAGAAGTAGGGTTGCCTGTCCAACCTCGTGGGTTTTCTCCAGGTCCTCCGGTTTCCTCCCACTGCTAAAGACCCCTACGTGCAAGCAAATTATTGAAATAGAATTGAACCATATGTTAGTCCCGAAATGACCTAGTTTGTGTCAAGTGGATGTTAAATCCCATCTTGCTCTAGTAAATCCCTGGACTCTAGAATAGAATTTCCATTGTTTGAATTTCGACTTGGAGATGAAAAGGAGTTTGACATCCTACTATATTTCTCCGACTGGGCTAATGAAGACGACGGGCATACGCCATACAGTGGGCTATGAGGGAAGTTTTGCCTGGACAGCGGCACTATGGCTTATTCTTATAGGAAATTCTAACTGCCAAGGGATCGTTTACATGCACAACTATACTCTGTCCCTTGTCAGGCCTTTGGTCCTGCATCACTGATAAGGAGGAACCACGCCGGAAAATCTTGATGAACTTTCTAGGTCAATACAGGGATTGAACACGGAACCCTCAGGTTAGCGAGCTAAAGCCGAACTCACTGAGCCCCCGTGGCCCCAGAATATAACCTTCAGAATTTTTCAATCCTGGTATTCACTTGAAATATCGCTCACAAGAGTGAATATAAAGATTTTCCGAGACAGACCTTCGATTGTCAGTGGTGGCACCTTTGAAGCTAACGCAGGGAAAATATGTAATTCTAATGGGACGAAATAGTTTCATTACATAGCAATACCTTGACTGAGTTCGACAATAAGCATTTTCAGCTCAAGTTAAGCAGAGTGACAAGCAATTTTATGCATAATAAAAGATTAATTGTACAAGTAATCCATTTTAAACAGTTTGGTCGAGGCTATTGGCTTGCTCGTCTTTTTTTTTTAGGCAAGTGACAGGTTTTGATAAAAGAGAGAGAGAGAGAAATAGGGTTTAACGTTCACTCGACACAGACTAGGTCATTTTGGGACTAACATATCGTTTAATTTTATTTCAATAATTAGTTTGCGCGTAGGGGTCTTTAGCAGTGGGAGGAATCTGGAGGACCCGGAGAAAACCCACGAGGTTGGAAGTTTTGATAAATGTTAAGACTAACAAACAGTACATGTAGGACTACATTCCTAATGTCTGCATAACTATTATTCAACAAATGTTTTACATTTTTGTCTAACTACAGACTATATATATTTTGAGTACCCTGTTACACATTCTTCAATGGGATATATAATTTGTCTACTTTTGTTTAACAAAATATCTTTTTGATATAGAGATTATCACTTGGATTTAAACCAGTGACTTGGAAAATCAAAAAAAATATTTTAAAAGAAATGCGAGCAGTAGGTTTAAATAGTTCAATGGACCATCGAAAATTTATAATAGAAACTTTATATTCAATTATTAGAGCAGTATATCCTTATACTTCAACTAGGCTTTTTTTCTTGAAAGATATAAGTAAGGCAAAAAATGGCTGTATATTTGATATTTGTATCCATACTTTATGATGTAGAATGTTGTTTTGCACACATGGTGTAGTTAGAGTCTATAATGACACCCCCATCTGAAGCACACATGATGTAGTTAGTCTATAATGACACCCCCATCTGAAGCACACATGGTGTAGTTAGAGTCTATAATGACACCCATATCTGAAGCACACATGATGTAGTTAGTCTATAATGACACCCCCATCTGAAGCACACATGATGTAGTTAGTCTATAATGACACCCCCATCTGAAGCACACATGATGTAGTTAGTCCATAATGACACCCCTATCTGAAGCACACATGATGTAGTTAGTCTATAATGACACCCCCATCTGAAGCACACATGGTGTAGCTAGTCTATAATGACACCTGCATCTTAAGCACACGTGGTGCAGTTAGAGTCTATATTAACACTCACATCTGTAGCACACATGGTGTAGTTAGAGTCTATAATCACACCACATCTGAAGCACACAGACATCAAATAATAATATGGATTCAATTATGTTTAAACTGTTAAACAAAAAGCAGAGCATTAATGGATAAGATTGATTGTGTTCTGCGCCGCTCTGACAGCAAGAAAACAATTTTCAGTAGACCAATGATTGCATTGAACCGTCTTCATTAGCCCAGTCGGAGCAGAACAGTAGGACGTTAACTCTATTACATTTTATTCCGATTGCATTGGTATCATACAGATGTCAGTTTAACATTTTAAGTTATAATATACAGATGTTAATTTAACATTTTAAGTTATAATTTGTTTATGAAGATGAACTAGGAAGGATGCCTACCAGTTATATTAAGAATACTGTCGCATGTGTCATGATGTTGTCTTACCACTTACATACTTACAATTATTTACCCTAGTTATTCTAATATATGCGCACTACTTACCATAAGTGAAAATGAAATGAAATGGGGTTTAACGTCCTACTGTTTTGCTCTGAACTGGGCGAATGAAAACGGGCATACGCCATACAGTGTGCTATGAAGGAATTTTTGCCCGGACAGCGGCACTACGGCCTACTCTTATATCGAATTCCAACTGCCAAGGGATCTTTTACGTGCAAGCCAATGTGTACACGGGACCTCGGTTTTTTGTCCCATCCGAATGACTAGACAGCTGCTTGTGAAATCACAAGGTCTCTCATTGATTCCCCCGCTTGAAAGTGTCAAGGAATGGGATCACCTGTCCAACCTTTGTGGGTTTTCTCTGGGTCCTCTGGTTTCCTCCAACTGCTAAAGACCCCTACATGCAAGCAAATTATTGAAATAAAATTGAACCATATGTTAGCCCCGAAAAGACCTAGTTTGTATCAAAAGGATGTTAACCCCTCTCTCTCTCTCTCTCTCTCTCTCTCTCTCTGTATGTTAGTATTTCTCTTTTAAGCACACTACATGTTGTTTATGCCTGTCTATGTCATGTAGTCCATATTGGTGCAGAAACGTACTTTATTAGACTAAGTATGGTATTATAGCGTATAGCCTGTTTTGAGTAGGGAGTGAAGACCTATAGAAAGTTATTATACATTCATTGTGTTTAGTATCTATACAAGTTATCAACCTATATTTTTACCTATATAGAACTCTACCAATTATTGTCAACCATTGACAAGACTTTTTAACAAATGCGATCAACTGTTACTCCGATGTTTTATTTGTCGTAAACCATGTGAGACTGGAATGGCCAGTCTTTTTGTGTTATAATTTATATTTGTCAGTGTCAAGAACTTTTGACAGTTTATTTAGACATTAATGTACAGGTAGATTGATTGTGCTGTGCATAGCTGCACGCGAATGGAACGCTCTCTGGATTGTGTAATCGAAAGAGCTATTTATTAACGAATGTGCACGCGATTGGAATCTGTTCGAGGAGTGTTCGTTAATTTTGATATTATCAAGATAACGTGTGTCTGTCTCGGTGTTGGATTTTTGAGCGTCTATTCAATTTGATATGCAGGTTGTTGCAGATGGTTTATTCGTGATGGTGTCAATCAGTTTGGCGTGTGCAATTGTCTGGGATTTAAATATGGAGGTTATATTTATTGTCATTTAATTTTACTTAGGTATTTCTAAATCGATCGACAAAACTGTATTTTGAACTGTTTGGGAAAAGGTTTATCGTTATATATGGTTTGTTCACACAGCAAAAATGTCTGTTAAAAGTGTGTTATCATTGTAATTGTAAGATAAATGTGTCTTAGTCTTAACTTGAAGGAAAAGTGTCTCTTACTTATAATTGAAAAAATATGTGCTTTTCTTGAAAGTCATGGAATAGTGTGTTCTGTTTTTGCCTAAAAGGAAAATTGTGTTTTGTTTTCTCATGAGAAAAGTGTTACCTGGATGGCTAATTATTTTTGAAGAAACATATATTGCTTCTTTGTTTTCCTGTGTCTTATTTTGTAATAGATGGAAGAAAAAGTATGTCCAACATGTATTTTTGCTTGACAGGAAATAATGTTTTATATATTGTTTAATTTTTATATTGGTCTTTACCCCCGATGTTGAAAATATTAAGGGTTTTTTTTGTTTGTTTGTTTTTTAGTCATTTAAGTTAAAATACAAAATAAAAGATGCAAAATATCAGGAACGTCAACGACCTACATTTTTTGATGGTCGTCACTTTGTATTCTCATATGTGTGTTGTAGAAAAGTTATTTACTTCAGTCAGCTGCTAAGATGAATTGAAGTCTTTGTATAATGGAGTGAACAAATTAAATTAGAATTCTCTAGAATGAAAAACTTGTTGTTCCAGTTTACTAGGATTCAAGTATTTTAATTTCCATGCACTCGCTAGACTCAATTACCATATTTTATTCTACCAAACAAACTTTTGTTTAATTTAGACAAACCCATAAAACTCTTTCTAAAAATACAGTCAGGTCAGAATTTTAAATTAAATAGATTTTTAAAAACAAAAATAAACAAAACATACAGATGTCACATGTTTAACTCATGACATTGCTAATTTTTATGGTTTTGATTTACACAAAAGTGCGAATCTAGTTTGAGTTTTTTCTTGTTTTGAGAGCCTGGCAAGGGACAAAGTATATGTGTAGTCATTTGGATGGGATGAAAAAATCGAGGTCCCATGTACACATTGGTATGCATGTAAAAGAATCCTTGACAGTTGAAATTTGATATAAGTGCCGCTGTCCGAGCAAAATTTCCCGGTTTTCATTAGCCATTTCTGTGCAAAACAGTAGTATGTTAAACCCCATTTTATTTCATTTCAAATATCAAACTGTTACTAATCTCTCAAATAAAGCTGTTTTAATATCTAATCTGTGTGATGTACATATTGGCAAAGGGAATTGTAGTTTCTTGGAGATCTTTAAAAGAAACTGGAGACCACATGATGTATCACACTATTGTATGATTGTTATTTTTATGTCTCATTGAAATTATCTTCCTTAATTCAGTTGATGCAGAACAGTAGAATATCAAACTCATTCATTTCATGTCATTTTTCATTATGACTTATATTGATTTTCAAGGATTTCCAATAATTACTATGTGACAAGGAGTGGGGTCGCCTGTCCAACCATCGTGGGTTTTCTCAGGGTCCTCCTGTTTCCTCCAACTGCTAAAGACCCCTACGCGCAAGCGAATTATTGAAATAAAATTAAACCATATGTTAGTCCCTAAATGACCTAGTTTGTGTTGAGTGGACGTTAAACTCTATTTCTCTCTCTCTCTCCAATAATTACTATAGGAGTTATTGCCCTTGAACTTTGCTAACCCTCTAAAGGCTAAGGTTATATCAGAAGATTAATTTAAATCATTTGTAAACGGCTCGGACAACTCAGCTGCTGTGGATGAATGTTTCTTTGCTGGTATATCTTTTAATCATTTTCGATCCCTGCATTGGCCGAGAAAATTCATCCAGATTTTCCGGCGTGGTTCCCCCTTGTCAGTGATGCAGAACGGAGGGCCTGACAAGGACAGCTGTCTCGTCCTTCGGATGATACGAAAAACCGAGGTCCCGTGTATACATTGGAATGCACGTAAAAGATCCCTTGTCAGTTGGAATTCGATATAAGAGTAGGCGATAGTGCCGCTGCCCACGCAAAATTTCACTCATAGCACACTGTATGGCGTATGCCCGTCTTCATTAGCCCAGCAAAAGAGCAGAACAGTAGGACGTTAAACCCCATTTCATTTCATTTCATTTCTTTGAATCATTTCTTTATCAATTATTATATCAGATTTGCGGATGTTGTTTTTTGCAGGAACGTAAAATTAAACTATGGCTGTTTAATTTTTTTGTTCGTAAAAAACCCAGTGCAAGTAGTTCAGTATCTTGTAGTTCACTTAATTAAACAAAAAATAAATAGACAAACTTGTTTTAATGCTGTCATAATCTTGTTTAACAGGTTTGTTAAGAGTGTGTTTACATAAAAACAATTTTTTTTATAAACAATTAAAGCTTATTATATTACTTTGATGTTTTACAACATCCTACTCAGATAACCTCTCTATATCCATGCTAAGGTGATCGGGTGGCTAAAGGGATTAACGTGTGCACGTTAGATCATGGTCTGTCATCAAGTCAAGTGGTGTTGGTTAGCTTTCCCACTTGTACCTGATAAGGAGTAGGGTCACCTGTCCAATCTTGTGGGTTTTCTCCAGGTTTTCGGTTTCCTCTCACAGGTAAAAACCCGTACACACAAGAGAATTATTTAAATATAATTGAACCATGTGTTAGTCCCAAAATGACCTAGTTTGTGTCAAGTGGACATTAATCCCCATCTCCACTGGTTTACCACCTACTGCTAGAACCGAAATATTGAAATAAAATTTAAAATTGAACCATGTGTTAGTCTCGAAATGACCTAGTTTGTGTCAAGTGGATGTTACCCCTCTCTCTCTCTCTCTCTCTCTTATGTGTGAAAGTCAGGACTATTTTCATTGCCTGCTTAAAACTCTGATTTAAAAATAAATGTTAACCGGTTTCACATTTGAATATACATGTAAATGAGACAAGTAAATTAGAACTGTCAGCTGACTGGTGACATCTAAATGCATAATTCATTGAGAAAATTACTTGAAATAGACAAAGGCTCCATTCATATGTCATTTTAAGATTGTTGAATTCTTTTACAAACAGTTTTATTCATGTACTTGAGTGATTCCAGTGTTTAAAAAGTTTTTGACTAGATATAGATTACTTTGCTTGGTACAGACGAGAGTAGCCTTGTCAAAGCATCATTCGTTAATGAACATTAATTGATAATTGTATCATTGCTTGATAAAGTCGAGAGAACCCTCGTCAAAACGTCACTAGAAATAAATCTTTTAAAGGAGCTATATCTCTGTTCTGTGGCACCTAGAAATATGAATGTATATAAATTGATTTACATTCAATCGTTTCTGTTTTTACTGTAATTTCTAATCAGTTCTGTTCGGCGAAATATGTCCAAATTGAATGGCAGTCTTTGACATCTGGTTATTCCGGTCTACTACACCGGTAGTATTCTCCTGAGGGGTATGTTTAGGCTCATTCACTGAGTGACTTCATTACAATTGGCGCCCGAAAGTATTCTGGCATGCGATTTGTGTGCCAATTTTACAACTGTCATTGTGTTAAATATTGAATATCAGAAGCACATCTTTTCACATTAAGATAACATCAATGTTGATTTAAATTGACCAATAAGTTGTGTTTGCAATGTCGAAGACTGTGAATGATATTGAGTTAAAGACTCAATCTGATCAAAATACAGATCTATATTTCGTTTCGTTTTTTTATATTTTCAATGGCCTACACTACATGAAGATCTGACAAGTTATAGCGATAGGTCACGTCAGGGGTCAAAAGACCGACTTATGACAATATGACGTCAGACATTTGATTAACCAATCAGCATTGATGTTATTAGTGGATTACCCACAGTTCCGTAAAAAACAGGCCTAAAGCTCGCCGTGACAGACCGTTTCATTGGCTTATTCCTGACACCATTCAGAACACGAGTTAAATAACAACTCTTCCAGATCCAAGTGTAGTAAAGACAAGTAAAACGAAATTTTGAACTATTAAAAAACGAAAGGAAATAGGATCTGTGTTTTGACCAGATTGGTTAAAGACTTGGCTCCTTTAAGTTACTGTGTCATGTGTTATTCAGATTACTTTATTTGCTGGGGGGTTAGATAACCTCCAAGTCCTCTGGTTTCCTCCCATTGCTAAAAACCCCTATGCGCAAGCAAATTATTGAAATAAAATTGAACCATGTGTTAGTCCCGGGTGGACTTTAAACTCTCTCTCTCCCCCTCCTCCCAACCCTTCCGAACTATCCTGATCTGACCTCTCCACCAACCATCCAGAAACAAGACATTATTTAGTTGATGATACTGTGTATGTAGAAATCTCTGATCACTAACTGTTAAGATTTGATAACCCTTTATTTATCATGGATGGCTGAACACGGCTAAAGTAAAGTGAATTTTTATGTCATATTTATGTGTGTATGATATGACCTATGATAGTCGTTGGTAGATTTTCTACCTTGATAAGTATTACCTGTGTGTATGTCTATTCTGGGTATAAAACATGAATACCTGTCCGACCAAGTATAAATTTAGTGAGGTGTGGAAATATGACTTGGAAGGGTTATTATAGTTCATATATTTAGGACTGTGTAAAGTTTTAGATCTGTTGTGTTTTTAGGATTGTGCAAAGTTTTAGATCTGTTTTTAGGATTTTGCAAAGTTTTAGATCTGTTGTGTTTTTAGGATTGTGTAAAGTTTTAGATCTGTTTGTGTATTTAGAATAATGTCATTACTTACTTGAGAACGACAAGAGGAACTTGTTGAAACGTAGTGTGAAATAAACCCGGTGATTGTTTTCCATATAAATTGTATTTTATATAATATGTTCAGTTACTAAATGCTGTATAAGGATTTGATTAGATCTGTTTGTGTATTTAGAATAATGTAAAGTTTTAGATCTGTTGTGTATTCAGAATAATGTAGTTTTAGAGCTGTCACTATCTGTAAGTGTTACTTTAATCTTTCGATAGGCCTCTTTTCAATCTTATTGAATTCATGCCAGGACATATTCTTTATAATTTGTCAGTGAATGGGGTCAGTGAGTGTTAATTAACAGCAGAGAGAATGTTATGAATTTGGTTGAGGTCAAACAATCAGTTAGTGTTAATTAGTTTCCTCATTATATGATAAAATAGAAAATATTAGAATCAGTTAATAATGTAATTATATGTCAGTAGAACAAAATAAATGATGATATAGACCATGGGGTTTCAATTTTAAACATTTAATATATTTTCCGAATTATAATTGTTTTGATAATCGGATCATTGGATTAAGGGACTCAGGTCAAATCCTTTACTGATACAAACCTTTTTTTAGGATCTGGAAGAGTTGTTATATATAACCTGTGTTCTGGATGTCGTAAGTTCTTAAACAATGAAACCATGATGCACAGAATTATGGGTAAACCACTAGAAACTTCAACGCTGATATTGATTAATCAATATCTGCCATCATAGGGTCAAAAGCCGTTCGTACCTTTTACTACAACCGGTCATCGAAAGTATAAAAAACGAAGCGAAATATAGATGTGTATTTTAATCAGATTGGTGTGTTGATGCTATGTTGGTGTATTATAAAGTATATACAGTAGGTGTGTTGATGTTATATGTAGGTGTATTATGAAGTATATACAGTTACATGGGTTGACATGTGATATACATGTTACCTCTATACCATTGTCAAAAAACACAGACTTATTCTCCGCTTGACAGGTGACAATTTACATGTAAATCCAATTTATGGTATTTTTATTTATTGTGCAGTTTAAAAGTTTAAATTTAGGTATAAAACAATAAAATAATATCTGTACACCCACGTTGAAATGTGGCCATATATATTCTTCACCTGTGTCTGTCTGTTTGTCTAGAGGTTAAAGTTAAGTCCACGAAAACACTAAAATGTCTGTTGCCACATTCTATACGCATGTGTTGGCGTACATTTTCTTCACTCGTGCGCGTCCATTTGTCTAGAGGTTAAAGTTATTGTCAAATTGTCTTGAAATTAGTGTTTCTGTTTCTGAGTGTATTAATTTTCATCAATTTTCAATAACTCGAACAGCTGATTACTGGTCACACTAGGAAGAACTAGAATCCAATCAAATTTTATTATTTCTGATTATTACTTCATGTGTTGCTGCCCTTGATTAATTTTAATGTCTTCTAAATACACCATTTAATTACCTTAAAAAAAAATACAAATGTGACCGACTTTATGAACTACTCTAAAGACCTTTCTAAGTATAGTAGCCTATTTTTATTCTGACAAATCATATTGTTAGCAAATTATTGTTGTTTTTTTTGTTATGACTTTTTCACATGTTTCATTGTTCAGCATTCGTATGAAGGTTAAATGAAGTGACTTTTGAGATTGTTTACATATTTTATGAATTTTCATTGTTCGTATGAAGGTTGAAATAAGGTGCTTTTTGAGAGATTTGAATAGCTTACAAATTATTTGTATTCACAAGTTAAAACCAGTGTCCGAGCAGAGATGTTTTTATTTTAGAATCAGGGTGGGTTTTTCAACTGTCACGGTAGATATATCCTGTGTTGGTGTGTCGACAAGTAGCCTGTTTAAAACTAGGTGAATACTTTGAAGATTTGTCAAGTTCCCATTGAAACCTGTTTCTACTTCTGGTGATAAAATGATAGCTGTTTGGATTAAACTTTTACTGTTTACATTGGTATTATAACATTTATGTCATGTATTTTAAAATGGATGAAGATTGCTTCTAGGAGAGCTACTTTTCTTGTAGTTATGTTGACAAAATACTGTGTTTTATAGTGAAAAGATCGTTATGAATTCTGTGAAAAGTGAATATATATTTTAGTTTTACTGTTGAGAAATTATAACATTTATGTCATTAAAATGGATGAGGATTACTTTAATTGAGTTATTTTTGGGAAGTTTTCATTCTGTTGACAAAATGATGTGTTGTGTAATGACAAATTCTCTTTGAATTGAGTGAAAAGTGAAGATATGTTTTGGTTTTACTGTTGACAAAATTGTGTCCTGTTAAATTTATGTATTGAGGTTACCGCTACTGTGTAGATCCTCTAGACATGTATTAAATGTCTTTATACAAGAACAGTTCAGTTACTTAATAATAACAACACAACTAGATGAATTTACTGCTTCTAGGATAGATTGGAAAGTTATTGAAGGAAATTGTTTATCCTAGTTAATTTTGAATGTATTTGATTTACTTATATTTGGGTTCTTATTTGATATGGTGTCCTTGATATCCCCAGCTACCACTATTACTACTACAATTTTTCGTCATTGCTTGGTAGAGTGTGGCCGAATGGTTAACATGTGCGTGTTGGATCATTAGGTCGAGAGATGTGGTTTTTGATTCCCCGCTTGTACGTAACAAGGAGTAGGGTCACCTGACCATCGTCGTGGGTTTTTTCTGAGTCCTCCAGTTTCCTTCCACTGCTAGTGGAGTTAGACCCCATATCTCTCTCTCTCCCTCTCCCTCTCCCTATTCTTCTATTCATTTCTGGTTTCGATTCATTGGTTGTTTCCTTGGTTGTACGTGACAAGGAGTAGGGTCGTCTGTCCAACCTCATGGGTTTTCTCCAGGCCCTCTGGTTTCCTCCCACTGCTAAAGACCCCTATACGCAAGCGAATTATTGAAATAAGTTTGGATAATGTGTTAGTCCCGAAATGACCTAATTTGTGTCGAGTGGAGTTAAACTCTCTCTCTCACTGCTTTATAGAAATACATGTGCCTTAAAGTGATGAGTATTAAATCCAGTTGTGTTATTATGAATGGTTTATGTCTGTTTCTAAATGTCATTTAAGGACAATATTAAAGAAAGTTCAGTTACTTGTTAGTTCTACATATTGTTTTAAAGAATGAAATGTTATTGTAACCAGAATGTTCTTTGATGTTTGTGATAACAATGAAAAAAAATTCTTTCATCAATCTCTTAAAGGATAAAATGTACAGGTTTTGTGGTGTTATTACAAACATGACATAATAAAAGGTGGCTGACAATAGAAGTACAAAACTACGGAAGCACAATGATGACAATATGGATTATGATAGAATAGTGAGGATATTACAGTAGTAGCTCGATAATGTCATGTGATACATTAGATTCGGTTCCATCAGCTCGTGTCAAACAACAGGCTGGTCAACAACATCTACAAGCTAAAATAAAACTCTGGTTTCATTGGTTGATTATTTATCTCGTTAAGGTGTTACCGATCTCGTTAGCTAATGGATTCCTCAATTTCTTATCATGGTTGACGATCCTTACACCTTACAGGTAAGTTGAAAACTGGTTGTGTGAATAAATATTAATTATTGAAAATATCTATACTTTGTGTATTTTATCCCATTTAGTCATGCTGTGTCATATATTTTATTAAAAAATATCCATGACCATATCACATCTAGTTAGATATTTCCTCAGATACTGAAAATGATGTGTGTGTGTAAAATGGCCGACAATGATGGGGTCAGGTAACGTCTTACTGTTCTGCTCCGACTGGGATAATGAAGACAGGTATATGCCATACAGTGTGCTGTGAGGAAAAATTTGCCTGTACAGCAGCGCTACGACCTACTCTTAGTCTTATATTGAATTACAACTGACACATGAGCTTTGAACTTTTACGTGCACACCAATGTGTACAGGGGACCCTGACAGTTGGAATTTGAAATAAGAGTAGGCTGTAGTGATGCTGTCTGTGCAAATTTTCCTACTCCGCACACTGTATGAGATATACCTGTCTTCATTATCCCAGTCGGAGCAGAACAGTAGGACATTAAACGTCATTTCTTAATTGAATGACCTGACAAAACCATCATAAATCACTCTGACTCTGACTGTAATTGTGGGATAGATATAGAACCTTTCCTTATAATGATATCCATTAGTTCTTTATCAAGTTTCCGAAAAGCTTGGACCAGATTTGTAAAGAAAATTTATTTAAAATAACGTAAATGGAGTCAAATGATTTAGCAGTGTCAAGTATCAATGATAGTCTACGATCTGAAAAATTGATGTTACACATATTATATAGTTGACATTAATTCAGATAGCATTAATGTTTTATAGTTTTTTTTGAGACAGCAATAATGTTTTATAGTTGGTACGTCTTCATTACTCCAGTAGAAGCAGAACAGTAGGACGTTAAACCCCATTTCATTTTATAGTTGGTTTGAGCGAGTTGAATATAATTTATTGTTATTATGTTGTACAATTAATGCTGAATAAGAAAAACGAGTATGTAAGGCAAGCCTGGAAATGAGGCACCTGTTATAGACTTTGTCAGACACAAATTATCACAAAACATTTTATATATTATATTATATGTATATTGTGAGATAATTTGTGTCTAACAAAGTCTGTAACAGGTGTCTATGTCCAAGTGCAGGTGCAAATGAAAGGCCTCCAATCATATCCCAAAACTTACACATCCAATAGACCAACGTTTTTATCATAGATACAGGGACACCTGTTGCGTTACAATAAGTGTGCACTCATGGATGCAACAAATATTTTGTTTTCACATTTATTAATAAATGAAATGAAATGGAGTTTAACGTCCTACTGTTCTGCTCCGAACTGGGCTAATGAAGACAGGCATATGCCATACAGTGTGCTATGAGGGAAATTTTGCCCGGAGCGGAGGTACTGCGGTCTTCTTTTATATCGAATTCCAATTGTCAAGGGATCTTTTACGTGCACACCAATGTATACATGGTTGTTTTTTTTTGTCCCGTCCAAACGACTAGAAAGCTGTCCTTGTCAGGCCCTCCATCCTCCATCACTGACAAGGGAGAACCACGGCAGAAAATCTGGATGAACTTTCTCGGCCAATGCAGGGATTGAACCAACTTCCAGGCTAGTGAGCCAGCATCTTACCCACTTAGCCATTGTAACCCCCCATTTATTAATAAGATATTAATCACACAGTTGGGATATATTGGCCCAATTTAATAATAATAATGATAATGATATTTGTATCGCGCAACTATCCAATCCACTAGGGAATGCACTAGGCACTAGAAAATGTTCTCACTTTGGAGTGTTAATGATAGTGATTAAACAACCAAGTTTTCACTTTGAATTTAAAAACCGACACAGATTCACATTGTCGGATATTTTCTGGAAGTGTATTCCAAACAATTGATGCGCTGTATCGAAAAGTTCTGGATCCAAAAGATTTCAAATTATAGGCATGTGCATCCAACAATAGTTCCCCTTCTGATCTAAATATGTAAATTCTAAATGGCCTAACATACCCCAGAATGACTGAATATTTGTTTAACTTGTATTTTGGACGAGAATTTGTAGCAAGTTGAAAACTCCAAATGTCAGTAGATCAGCTGGTGGGTGATATGATCTTTCAAAGGTCAAGGATAAGAGGTCACGATTAGTAGACAAGTTTTTTGTCTCATTCATCTCATTCATTATCACATGAGATTTCTTACTTCTCATGTTTTACTTAATGTACGTCAAAACCATAAAACTGTGGGAAATAAAAAACACGTCACTGAATGACTGATACTGATACATGTTTTTGATCATTCGTCATTGTTAAAGAGACAGTAGAAGAAAAGAAAAAAAGGCCAAGAAGACAATGACATCATCACAGCCATTTTGGAATTGTGACATCATATCAAAAATTGAAGTCTGTTAATCAATGAGCAGTTGTCCAAGGAAAAAACATGCTAAGATTTATGTCATTCATTGATTGAATTGGCTGAGGCATAGTTATATTTTTAAGAGCTTCATCCCACAGAACAAGAAGAACAGCAAGATTACAGCCATCTTGGAATTGTGACGTCATATCAAAAATCGAAACATGTTGATTGTTTGTGAATTGGTGAAGCCGTAGGCTATTTTTGGAAAGGGTCGTCCCCAAGAACAACAAGAACAACAAGAAGAAGTACAACAGTTGAAGCACAGTTCCTGGTCTTAAAATACAGGGTAATTCTGTGATGCCAAACCTCATCTCTTGACGAGGGATATTTAAATGGGCTCCATGTCCTGGTGTTGTTTCCAAAGTATACCTGATAAACCGTCCCCGTAATATTATTTCAAGTTGTTTCTTAAACCTTACATTCCCATATTTTGAATAATTGATTCAGAATTGTCAGCAGCCCATACAAACAGGACGAATGGCGATAACTCATTTAACACTATTTTCATTGTTAAGGGAAATACTTTCGTCTTTTATTTTATTTCTCTTTCCACATGTCCACCATTTTTCAACAAGTCATGACATCATTCAAATAAAAAAAAGTTTGTTTTGTTAAAAAAAAAATCTTTTGATTGTGACAGATGACTTTTAAATCTAACGTGATCCCGTCTATCACAAGGTAAATCTTGTAGAATTTTAGATGAACTAAAGATTTGATTAGACACATATGTTCAACTGAACACCATATAGACTACGACAGTAAGAAGATTGATCACATACCATATACCTCATATGTGATGTCATCATTCAGAAGATAAATCATATATATATAAATATTAGCACAACCGTATTGCTGCACTACTTTGTTTCCCGGTAAATGATAAAAAGATAAAAGGTATGCTAACACAGACATTTTAAAGTACTTTTTCGCTCATCTGGGGAGCTTGTTAAAAACAATGTGTTTATGTGTGTGTTTATAGAATTTAGACTTACAACCTGCTGAAGATAAATAATATATGTATATCCCCTGCGATATATTTTTGGCGAAATTGAAACTGGCATATATATAATTGAGAGTGTTTGTATATACATGTATGTTTACAGAATATATCACTGTAACCCAGGTATCATTTAATCTTGTTTATCTAGCACTAATTTCTTTCACATTCGTTTACTATCAAATCTTTATTTAAAAATTCATAAAAATCGTTTAATTTCACAAAAAATCATCTAATTGTACTTATGTCCAGTTTAAAGCTGACTGATTTATTTTGATAATGAGTATCCAATTTACAAGTATTTAATTTCCTGTTCACTGTTCAAAAATTAATCATTATACATCAGTAGTCAATTGGGTTGTTTATTTTTTAACAATGATTGAGAAATTAAACACTTGTAAATTGGACACTCATTATCAAAATTAAATGGTCAGCTTTAAACTGGACAGGTATACAAATTAAACGATTTATGGTGATGTTAAACAGTTTTTATGAATTTTTAAACAAAGATTTGATATTAAACGAATGTGAAAGAAATTAGTGCTAAATACACAAGATTAAATGATACCTGGGTTACAGTGTATACTTACAACTGAAGTTTTTAGAGCCATAAACCTGGAAATTTCAACATTTATTTATTTAAAAGAGAAGTGACAGTTGGTAAAGGTGATCACATAATTCAGAATTTTATGGAATATAATTAGTGTTATTAATGAACCAAGTTTCGACTAAGATTCTATAGTATCAAGAAAACTAGAATCAACTTATTTCAACTTTTAAGTTTTAGGGAGTCGAGGGGAATATTTAGAGTACTTTAACACTTATTTTATGATGACTTATTGTATGTCAGCCATGTTTAATTCCATTTGATGTTATTCCTGTTATATTGGTAGAATCTTTTATTATAATCACATTCTCAAAAACACACTTTTATGGATAACAATTACTATGGTTTATTTCACTGCGACGTTTCAACAAGGTTTCACAAGTCGTTATCATGCTTGATAACAACTTGTGAAACCTTGTTGAAACGTTGATAACGACTTGTGAAACCTTGTTGAAACGTCGCAGTGAAATAAACCATAGTAATTGTTATCCATAAAAATGTGTTTTTGATTATGTCCCAATTACTAAATGCCATTCAAAGAATATAATCACATTACATGACAGGAATCTGACCAACAAACATCATATTCATGTACATGTATAATGACAGAAATGTTTGAGTGTATGTCTATTGTGTATAGGGGGCCACGGTGGCTCAATCAATGAGTAAGATGTTGGCACGCTAGCCAGCCTTGGAGGTGTCAGGCCGAGAAAGTTCATCAAGATTTTCCGGCATGGTTTCCTCTTGTCAGTGGTGCAGGATGAGTAAGATGTTGGCACGCTAGCCAGCCTTGGAGGTGTCAGGCCGAGAAAGTTCATCAAGATTTTCCGGCATGGTTTCCTCTTGTCAGTGGTGCAGGACGGGGGGGCCTGACAAGGACAGCTGTGTAGTCATTTGGATGAGACAAAAACTGGAGGTCCTGTATACATTTTGGCGTGCATGTAGAAGACCCCTTGACAGTTATTTAGAATTCAATATAACAGTAGGCAGTAACACGCTGTCCGGGTAAAATATCCCTCATAGCACACTGTATGGCGGATGTCCCGTCTTGATTAGTCCAATCGGTGCATATCTATTGTCTATACATGATGATGCGATTATTTTTGTTATCAGTTGATAATGGGCACTAACCCGAAATGCAACCAGGATTCAAACTACTTTTCTTTGAACACGGTCTTGTCTAGTTTGTTGATTGGGTAACATTTTATTACCCATGTATTAACATTGTATCCTCATCCGTATCACTAGAGATCTGACCTTATTTGTACTGTACAGGGATTCTTCAACCCATCGGCAGTACTTTCAGTCAGGAGTGAATTTGTCAGTCTTGGATTTTAATTATGTATGTACATTACCCTAAATGTATGCAAATCGAGACCTGTTAATTGTGTCAAAATGGACTGGATGTTTACATCTACTATCAATATTACATAAAGGAGTGTCATCCACTGTTCAACTTGGTTAACAAGACGTTTATATCATGCCTGTGTTTTAAAGATGATTTTATACTGTTTTAAACTGACTATAAAAAAGATTTGATGTCTTTCATGTATTAGTAGATAGGTTTTATTTTAGAGATTTTCAGAACAATTGACGAACTCTGTACATGTATTTTAGACGTTTTCAGAACAATTGACGAAATCTGTACATGTATTTTAGAGGTTTTCAGAACAATTGACGAACTCTGTACATGTATTTTAGAGATTTTCAGAACAATTGACGAACTCTTAATATAAATTTTTAGAGATGTTCTGTAGTACTAATGAGCTCAAATTTCTGGACAATTGTCCTTATCATTCAGTCCAATGTTATGTTCATATAATTACAAAAAAAGAGTTTAGGTTAAAGGAAGAATTCTCAATCTTTTTACATGGGGTCCCAGGTGCTATATTATGATTATGAAGCACACGAGACCCCATATTTTACATGCTATAGCGAAGAATTCAACTGTAATCATAATTATATCTTTATATCAGAAATCTGATCAATGGGATCACAGTTTCATGCTTCACAATGGTTACATTCTAGCATCAGAACTGGTGTGCTTGCTTCATAATAGTTCTTTTTCATAAAAATATACTGTGTTAGTCTCAATATGGCATAGGTGTTCAAAATCAGTTTATTTATAGTTGTAGTAAGTTTTATTTTGTTATTTTTTCAGGTGTTCAAGATGTAATCAGTGTCTACCCAATTGGTATTTTGAGAAAGATGGCCGACTATTCTGTCATGAAGATTATTGGGCTAAGTTTGGAGATGCTTGTAATGGATGTTCTGATCTTATAACTGGACCAGTCATGGTGAGTAAGGCCAAATGATATACAGCGTAAAACAAAAATCTCTATATTAATTATAGATATCTAGAGGACAAATCCTGTTGTTTAAGGAGATTACATCTCAAATATTCATCATTAGGACCGAAATAGTGTTTCTGTTTTATCTGCTGATCATCATGCATATTTGGAATTCTTAATCTACACTAAAATGAACTCAAATAGATTATTAAACTTTTAGTTAAAGATACATTGAATGATTTAAATAATGACTTGGCTAAAATGAAGTCAAATAGATTATTAAACTTTTAGTTAAAGATACATTAAGTAATGATTTAGATAAAGAATTGGCCGTTCTTGCTATAATAGTTAAAAATAGATAATGCGAAATGAATATTGAAAATTTCATTCAAATTATTATTGTTTGTAGTTTTGACAAGATGTGTGCATTGATTGTTTCTTATTGTAATCATGGTACTGGAGCCATCCGATGGCATCAAGAGTTGATTATGGTCTTGTCATGTTAATAAATGTCTAATTAATAGTTTATATTAATAGACCTGCAATAGGCAGATTTAGCTCTTGAATAATGTATCTTTGAAGGAAAACAAAATTAAAATATCAGCATTATTTAATCCGATAACTTGATTCAATCAGATTAAAATGAGGCCCATCAAAAGATTTTGGCTTATTTATATCATAAGGTCTATCATTGAGTCAACTGGCGTGGTTTCGATTCCCTGCACGTATGTGACAAGGAGTAGGGTCACCTGTCCAACCTCGTTTCCTCCTATATTGTACTGCTAAAGACCCCTACGTGCAAGCAATTATTATTGAAATAAAATTGAACCATATGTTAGTCCCAAAATGACCTAGTTTGTGTTGATTGTACGATTCAGATATTTTTTTATCAGAATATTAAATTTGTAATTTTCAGGTTGCCGGTGAACATAGATATCATCCGGAATGTTTTAAATGTGTTCACTGTGATGCTTATATTGGAGATGAGGAAACATATGCTCTTGTAGAAAGATCAAAATTATTCTGGTAAGTCCATTAAATATAAATCTATAAATAGTTAAAGACTTTTTATAAATCAAGAAACTTATTAGTTAGTCAGGGGGGTTGGATGGTCAAATTGTTAGCACGTGGGTGCTGTATCATAAGATCTGTCATTGAGTCAAATGGCATGGTTTCAATTCCCCGGTTGTACGTGACAAGGACTTGGGTCGCCTGACCGACCTAGTGGGTTTTCTCCTGGTACTCCGGTTTCCTCCCACTGCTAAAGACCCCTACGTGCAAGCGAATTATTGAAACAAAATTAAACCATATGATAGTTCCGAAATGACCTAGTTTGTGTTGAGTGGACGTTAAACCCCATTTCTCTCTTTCTCTAGTAGGTAGCCAAACTCTAAAATAATGATGTTAGTTTTGCCTGAGAACATTGCTGTAAAAAACTCCAGTCCCAGTTTCTGTCGTCTAAAACTTGCATTCCTCAAATCATTATAGATTAGACATTTTATCCTGTGCTGAATGATGTTAGGAAGGGATTTTTTAAATGGACTTTGTCAATCAATCCATCTCGATTTCGTTTTGCACATATCTCTTAAACTGGAATTTTGTACGGTCCACTTATCAATCTATTGCCTTTGATATGTACTCAATTATGGCTTTGGTTTACTTTAAATATTTCGAATTTGTCATCATATTTGTTATGTATATACTTATGGCTTTCTTTTACTGTATATAAATACTTAAGTTTTATACATATATGTAATCATTTGCTTGATAAAGACCAACTTCAATAGAGGGCTTGATCTCGCCTTAACTACGTACATCTTATCAAGCCCTTCACGTAATACCCCGCATATTTTAGCACTAATTTCGATTGGGTATAAGCCCAGCTTGTGATCCTATCAGATTCCTTCGTTAAAAATATGGTTACGATTATCAAGTCTCGCACTTCTAGCTAAAATGTCTACATGTGCTGGAAATCATGGTTGATCAACAAAGTCTGTAAACTTGTCTATTTCTTTTTCTATGGAGGCCGCCATGTTTGTTTACAGAGTGTTATGTGCCACGACCTCTGATTGGACAATGCTAATTAGTCACGTGTAAACACAAGGAGCGCAAAAATTTGTGAATTGTTGAGTATTGAAGCAACGACTAGATGTTGTAAAACTCACGGTTGTTGCTTCAGGAACATGGATAAAGACGAGAGTCTCATCGTCGAAACGTTGCATGTTAATAAACCAATAATTGTTATTCCATAAATAGTGTTAGTGTGTTACTGTTCAATTACTAAATGCCACTTAAACAAGTACCTATTTAGTGTTGCGCCTTTTGCTAATTAGACATGCCTCAGATTTAATTCTGTTTATGTTTCCATGGTAACAAATTTGACTTAGTTTTTGGTATACAGGGGTGTGAGATGTTGATGTCTTAGTCTTTTTTATTCTTCTTTCAGTGGAACATGTTACACAAAGGTGATGAAGCCATTGCTGGCTGCATCTCCACGACGACGGAAACCACACTCTATACAGTTAGTAGAAATTCCTGCCACACCTGATGGGAATCGTGGAGTTCAGTTCTCTATGGACAGACGAAGGAATTCTAGTCGACCATCTTGTAACAGTGATGTATATCGTAAAGCACCAATAGTCAAAATTACAGAGTAAGTAAAATATAACCTTGACCCCCGCCATTCGGATAGAAGGGGGACTATTAAGATAGGCATTATGAGCATAGTCTACTTGGGCTAGCAGAGATGAGCAATTTGATTTGTCAATGCTTTGAAACAAGATAACTGATTCTAATTAATTGAGAGAGCTGAAACTTGGTGTTGCCTGGCAACCTATCTTATAGATATTGTAATACACAACTTCTAAAGTGATCGTGGTTATCATGATTACTACAGACCCCCCTCCCCAACCCTTTGATATTTGTACTGTAGTTTAATTATATTGTTTACTTTATGTTCTAGTCTAGATGTTAGTCCAGATCTACAGGGTTTAAAGATAGGAGATCGTATTTTAGAAGTAAATGGATTGAGTGTACGTGATAAGTCAACAGAGGAAGTAAGTACAAGGAAAGATTCTTCTACTGATTTCTAGTTTCGATTGATTATCAGACGGATCAATACAATCATTAACCTTGTTATAAATTATTGGTGTGTTATTTCCGTGTCAGTGAAATAAAATGAGATTTAACGTCCTACTGTTCTGTACCAACTGGGCTAATGAAGATGGGTATAGGCTACATCATGTAGTGCACTATGAGGTCAATTTTGTCCAGACAAGTGGCATATCTGCCTACTTTTCGTCGAATTCCAACTGTCTAGGGTTCTTTTACGTTCACACCAACATGTACGCAAGACCCTGGTTTTATCTCCCATGCAACACCTGTATGCTAGCCGGGGGGGGGGGTGGGGGTGGATGGCCGAATGGTTAGCACGTGCGTGCTGTATCATAAGGCCTGTCATTGGGAGGAAACCGGAGGACCCGGAGAAAACCCACGAGGTTGGACAGGCGCCCCTACTCCTTGTCACGTATAACCGGGGATTCGAAACCACACCAGTTGCATCAATGACAGACTTTATGAAACAGCGCGCGCACGCTAACCATTCAGCCATCCACCCCCCACCCCCCCATCTCTATAACTTCTGGTTAGTGATCGAGTCATTGCTTTACAAACAGAGCCACCATGGCTTCCTTTGTGTCAGTGAAGTGTATTGTATGGTCAATAAATTAGGCCATAATATAAATAAAAATATTTTAGCTCTCTCAGATAATCCTTCATCATTTAAAAAGGGCTGCATGACATGTTTTTAGAAAATAACTCTATGTATATTTGTAAATGGATCCAGGGCCCTTATTCACGAAAACTTAAACTAAGTTACAACCGAAATTTTAAGAAATACTGAACTTCATTGGATATATGCAAATTGATTTTACTGGTCAGCCAATCGAATTGCAGTATTTCTTAAATTTTCGATTGTATCTTAGTTTAAGTTTTCGTGAATAAGGGCCCGGAAGTGTGGTGTAGACTCATTTATCAAGTACATGTACATAATCATGATAAATATTACTGACAATCATAAATAATACTGGATAATCATAAATGAAATGAAATGGGAATTAACGTCCTACTGTTCTGCTCCGACTGGGATACTAAAGAAGACGGGCATACGCCATACAGCGAGCTGCAAGTGAAATTTTGCCCAGACATTGCACTAAGGCGTCTCTTATATTGATTTCCAACTGCCAGGGGATCTATTACGTGCACGCCAATGTGTACATAGGACCTCGGTTTTTTTGTCCCATCCGAATGACTAGACAGCTGTCCTTGTCAGCATTACGAGATAATTGTAGTGCCTTGAAATGTGACAAAACTAAAACACAGAAATACAAACCTCCCTCCCGCATTAGATTTTTGGTTTACAAGGATTGTCAGAGAACCAGAATAATTTTTTGGGATGGCCTAAGATGCACTGGGCGTCTTAATATTGGTATATACTGTAAGAAATACTTCCTAGTTGAGTATCAATTCACAGAATGTATGAATTATTCACCAGGATATGATACATATAGTCACTGAGTTATTTAAATATTTCCTGTCATTTTGTTACACATTGTATATAAATGTATTGATGTATGGCTGGTCACAACACACAAGTCAACACCGAGTTCAGGACGACTACACTTGGGTTTCAACTGTCAGGAAATTAAACTTGTGCTAAGCTCAAATGATCGCTATGTATTGATGAAAAAGAAAATTTAAATATCCTTTAGTTAGTGGTTCAATAGAAAATCAATATATGGAAACTTAAATAATGGTATGTTATGTTTCGTTATGACATGTTACGGCAGACATACTAACACTACAGTAAGACTGCACTCTGTTTCAACTGTCAAGAAATTAAACTTGTGCTATGTTTAAAATGCTTGTTATATTCAGTAATGGTGAGAAGTTAAATATCATTTAGTTTATTGTCAAATAGAAAATCACTCTAAGGAAGCTTAAATAATGGTATGTTACATTACAACTCGGGTATTGTTTAGTTGTACTGTTTTAACAGAAGTTTCTGTATTTAAAGTTTTGTTTCAATCCATTGTTAGGAAATTGGTAAATCAGTGAGAATCATTAAACAATATTGTGTTACTTGTGGTGTAGTTTAAAATAGTTCATCTAGATTACTAAATCAGTGAGAATTATCAAACAATATTGAGTTCCTTCTGTTATGTAGTTTAAAATAGTTCATCTAGATGAACATTGATTGTTGGGTTTATGACTGTTTACTTTCACTAGTAATGTTGGGTACTTAACAGACTAATTAATTACTCAACACTGCTAGTGTTATTCTGTTCTAATAAAAATTGTTCAATGTTAGCTTCTATAAAATTTTCCTATAGTTTATTTCTATGTTTGTAAAAGTTAAAATATGACGTTGTTTTCTACTTCAGATGGATGTAATATTTAATAATTCTACTGATGTGTTACATATTACATTAGAGCGTGACCCTTCACCCTTACGTAGTAATTCTGATTCTGACAGTCCATCAGATACATGTACTCTATCGTCACCTGATGAAGTTCTCATTGGTAGTACTCCTGTTAAATTACGACCACGTTCAACGTTAAAGGCTAGAAAGTAAGTTAGCCTATACATCTATTTTATGAGGGAGGAGACGTGCTATAGGGGTGATGATTTTCCGTGATCGCGGAATTGTCCACTCAAAACGGAATTTGAAATCTCACACGGAAAAAGACGGAAAAGACGATATTTGCTGATACTAAACACAAACTCAAAATAATTTTGCAGTTATCCAAGTATTTCATCTTTTTATTCATAAAAATCGGAAATATTGAATGATATCGCGTGGTTTTGTTACTGTCTATTTTAGTATTTCGCTACTTTCATTTCATCATTTAGGAATCATAATTTTAATCGAAACGAAAACCCGTCTTTCATGTATCCCATTATAAAATTACTCTGTAGTTTAACTTGAATTAAACATTGTAATGTATATATATGTCTTAAAAAAAACTTCTGTCACTTCATAAAAGTAAAAATCGTTTCATTTACTTCTTATTTTACTGCCGGGCTCGTGACTCGTGTTTATCCGCATTAACCACGTGACATCAGAAATATACCATAGCCTTGTGAATCCAGCCCTTATTCTCGAAGAAACGGTAGTAACTACGAAGATGTCTGGATAAATCGCGACTACACCTAGCAGCTGAGAAAAATGGCTTCGTCTGCTAAAAAGATGAAACGAGCTCACAAGATGTAATTTTATGTTATTTAATTCGGGAAACAGGTTTAAAGAATAACTAGTCATTGAACATTACAAGTCATTCACAATTCAACATTTGTTATCATTGGTTTAAAATGATCCGTTTTGTAATAAAAGGCATTTTAAGATGTTTTATTCATTTATTCATAAAATAACATTTTATCTCGAAAAAACGGAATATGGTCAGCTCTGAAACGGAAAATAACGGAATTAAAAATACTTAAAACGGAATTTGCTATTTTCTGAAACGGAAAATCATCACCCCTAGTGCTAGCTTAATAAGTAGGAATTGTTTGATGTTGACGGATTAGAATAAACCATTTTATTTTGATTTTATTTTGATCATTTGAGCATATTTGGCATCGTTCCTTCCTTTGCCGGATGGATCAATCTACCGGAGAAAATTAAACTAGCTAAAACAATACAGAATTTTAAAAGTTTGCCTAAAGACTTTAGTAAAGATACATTATGTAAGATTCAGACAATGAGATGACTCTAAGAGTTTAAAAAGAAATATTAAGAAATCAAAATATTGAAAATTTCCGTGAAATTACTCTATTCTGAGCAAAGTTATGAATGTTTGAAATTTTGACAAGATTTAGCCTAAATAGCCTTGATTGTCTAGTACCATTGTTACAATAATAAAAAAAGTCTCAATTATCCATTTTAGTGTTAAATTATTAAATGGCGTGGATGTTCTAATCCATTTAATATCTTGACCATCTGATGGTCTAGAGAGTAATTATGAGCTTGTCGTGTAAATAAATGGCTAAATAATAATTCAATTAACATTTGAAGCCAATGGGCAGATTTAGCTCTTACATAATAAATCTTTAAGACACGCTTTATCAAGAAAAGTTTCCAGTGTTGGAACAGAGCAGACTTTAGTTTGAAATGTTGCACTATATAATTATGCAAGAATCGTTAAAGCAGTATTTATACCGGTAATACATATAGGTTCAGTCCATCACAGAGAAGACGTTCATAATGTTTTATAATATTTTTAGTTTCAGTCCATCACGGAGAAGACGTTTATAATGTTTTATAATATTTTTAGTTTCAGTCCATCACGGAGAAGACGTTTATAATGTTTTATAATATTTTTAGTTTCAGTCCATCACGGAGAAGACGTTTTTAATGTTTTATAATATTTTTAGTTTCAGTCCATCACGGAGAAGACGTTTATAATGTTTTATTATATTTTTAGTTTCAGTCCATCACGGAGAAGACGTTTATAATGTTTTATAATATTTTTAGTTTCAGTCCATCACGGAGAAGATGTTTATAATGTTTTATAATATTTTTAGTTTCAGTCCATCACGGAGAAGACGTTTATAATGTTTTATTATATTTTTAGTTTCAGTCCATCACGGAGAAGACGTTTATAATGTTTTATAATATTTTTAGTTTCAGTCCATCACAGAGAAGACGTTCATAATGTTTTATAATATTTTTAGTTTCAGTCCATCACGGAGAAGACGTTTATAATGTTTTATTATATTTTTAGTTTCAGTCCATCACGGAGAAGACGTTTATAATGTTTTATAATATTTTTAGTTTCAGTCCATCACGGAGAAGACGTTTATAATGTTTTATTATATTTTTAGTTTCAGTCCATCACGGAGAAGAAGTAAATCCCCATCCCCTCTTCCACCTAACAGATCATTGAGTATTGAATTAAATAGATCTCATTCTTTAAGAACACAGTCTGGGTCACATCGTGTATTTAGGGTTAATGATCTGATACTAGGAGAGGTCTTGGGACAAGGTTTCTTCGGTCAGGCTATTAAGGTAAGTTTTAACATCACTACCTTTGTTTATTGTGGTTAACCTTATTGTTGTCCCCCGCCTTTCGAAGAAAGCAGGGGACTATTAAAATGGGCTTTCTCTCTCTCTTACTCCATTGTCAATACTGTTCAGCCATCCTGCTGGCGACGACAGTGTAGTTATGATCCTAACCAACTGATGTAAGCTGACCATTTTTACTGATTTCTGCTATAAAACTGTATTTGACCTGAAGGATACGTGGAAGTGGACGTAAAACTCTAAGAACGATACGAAGGATATTAATGTTATTCTGATGATTTAAACTTTATATTTTATATTTTCAGGTTACTCATCGTGTAACTAATGAAGTTATGGTGCTAAAAGAACTCTTCAAATTTAATGAAGAGGCTCAAAAAAGCTTTTTACAAGAAGTGAGTTGAAATAGATAATACTATATATATATATATATATGTTATACAAAAAAAATTATACCATACTTTATATATATTATACAATAAATAATACTATACAATAAATATACTATACAATAAATAATACTATACAATAAATAATACTATACAATAAATGATAATGTACTGTTACTGGTCGATAATAAAAGAGTGGCTATGAAGACCTGGTTATCTTGGGTGTCAGTCACTGATAGACAATAAATACTATTTTACAATAAATAATGTCATACAATGAATGATAATATACAATTACTGATATACAATAAATAATGTTATACACAATGTATAATATTATACAATACATAGTGTTAAACAATAAATATACTATCATTACTGATATACAATAAATATTGTTATACAATAAATGATATACAATAAACAATGTTATGCAGTGTTGAATAATATACAATAAATATTATACAATAAATAAAATAATATACAATAAATATTATAATATACAATAAATATAATAACATACAATAAATACTATACAATGAATAATCCAAAACCAGATTTATATTACCTTGTTATGTTTGCTACATCATGCCTTTTTCCTCAAATACACTAATTAATTTACACAAATCATTGATAAAAATGAAGATCTTTTCTCAAATGATATTTTTATTGTGATCTTATTTATATATTTTTATTGTGATCTTATTTATATGTGATCTTATTTATATATTTTTATTGTGATCTTATTTATATATTTTTATTTGTTTAAGGTTCATATGTTGAGGAATTTAGACCATCCATGTGTATTGAAGTTTATGGGTGTTTTATATAAAGAAAAGAAATTGAATTTAGTCACAGAATATATTCCCGGTGGAACTTTAACCGAACATTTATTAGATGATAGTATCGATATTAGTTGCCTTCAAAAAATTAAATTTGTTAAAGATATTTCCAGTGGTATGGTAAGTCATACAACTTATTATTTTTCTTGTTAACAATTCAATGCATAGAACTCGTAGAAAGTTACTCAGTTTGATTTCAGAGAGAGAGCAATGGGGTTTAACATCCACTCGACACAAACTAGTCATTTCGGGACTAACATATGGTTTAACTTGTGCGTAGGGAAGAAAATCCAGGAAGTTGGACAGACGACCCAAATCTATGTCATATACAACTGGAAAATCGAAACCACGCCAGTTGACTCAAAGACAGACCTTATGATACAGCGCGCATATGCTAACCATTCTGTCACCCCCCCCCCCCCCCCCCCAATCATGACGAACTAAACCAGGTTTACGAAAACAAATCTAAAATGAAAAACTAGCTGAATCTTCTCACTAAAGGGAGATAATTCAGTTATAAGAGAATGTTAAATGATGTATTATTATATATTTTACAGAGTTATTTACATTCTATGGATATAATACATCGAGATCTCACATCACATAACTGTCTAGTTAAACTGGTGAGTTAATTATATACACATAACTGTCTAGTTAAAATGGTGAGTTAATTATATACACATAACTGTCTAGTTAAAATGGTGAGTTAATTATATACACATAACTATCTAGTTAAATTGGTGAGTTAATTATATACACAATCTGATTAAAATACAGATCTATATTTCGTTTCGTTTCATTTTTTTTTTTTACTTTCGATGGCCTACACTACATGAAGAACTGACCAGTTGTGTCAGGGGTCAAACGAAATTTTTCCCTGGGCAGCAGCACTATGGCCTACTCTTATATCGAATTTGAACTGGCAAGGGATCTTTTACGTGCACGCCAGTGTATACACGCGACCTCGGTTTTTCGTCCCTTTAGAGGTCACAATTATTATCCGATCTTGATGAAAATTAAAACATTTTTTTATATATTGGTTTCTATCGATATTCGTGCATATCAGACTGTGATATCCTTGATTATGGCCCCTGATTGTACCAAAAGTTGCATTTTTTTTTACCTTGTTCTCTATCAATCTCTTGCAAAATATGGCCGTATCTTGCATGGTAACCGCTTGTTAAACTATTATAGCAAGAATGCCCAGTCCTTTATCTAAATCTTAAATAATGCATCTTTAATTAAAAAAAAAAAAAAAAAATTATTACAAGTGTTTGTTTGTATTATTTTAGGATAAGACTGTGGTTGTCGCTGATTTTGGTCTCGCTAAAATCATGCCGAAAAATAAAGACATGCCTTTTTCTGAAATTGAACGAACTCCAAGGTCATCGACTAAAAATAAACGTAAAATAAAGAAGAAGCGTTACACGGTTGTCGGGAGTCCATATTGGATGGCACCAGAGATGATGAATGGCAAGGTTTACGATGAACGTGTGGATATTTTCTCCTATGGTATTATTGTCTGTGAGGTAAGATTTATTATAATTTCAAATTCATTTTGTTTTATTTATTTATTTCAAAAGGTGCATGAAATAAGATATGCTAGGTTTCCACTATCACGATTCATGGTACGATCGAAATCATCGATTTAATCGTGGAATAACCGTGGTGATAGTATCAGGTCTTATCATATACTGTGGTCAGTCGTAGTAATCGTATTGATCATATTGAAACGTATCCAAACTTACCAGATTGTGGACTCAGTAGGGACAATTCTATCGTAACGCAGGGGGTTGGATGGTCGAGTGGTTAGCACGTGCGCGCTGTATCATAAGACCTGTCATTGAGTCAACTGGCGTGGTTTCGAATCCCTGGTTGTACGTGACAAGAAGTAGAGTCGCCTGTCCAAGTTCGTGGGTTTTCTCCGGTTTCTTCCCACTGCTAAAGACCCCTACGCGCAAGCGAATTATTGAAATAAAATTAAACCATATGTTAGTCCCGAAATGACCTAGTTTGTGTCGAGTGGACTTTAAACCCCATTTCTCTCTCACTCTCTCTATCGTAACGCATCGCACCACAGTGGAAACCTAGTATTATGAGATAAGTTACATATCATGTAGCAGTATAACTTCTCTCTTCTTTCATAAGAAAAAATCATTTTGTCATATTTTTATTCACATCCTTATGCATGTGAACAAGTTAAAGCAAAATTTGTCGAGGTCATTTTTTAAAAAAATAAATAAGGAAGGCGTGGTTATCTGTCCTAATTGGCTATAAGTAAAACCTCAATGAATTTCTGATGACAAATATTACACAAGGACATCCTAATTTATTCAATTTATCAAAAAAAATGCAATTGAGGCTTAAAATAAAATAATATAATTGGGATGTCGAATAAAAATTTCTATACAATGTTTTTGTGTCTTTTGTAAAATGTGTAAAAAGTGACTTGGACAGTTTTTGCTTTAAATTGATGATATATGAAAATAACTACAATACTAATATAACTTAGCTTGACTTCTTTTTTATCTTGAGCATGATTCCTTTTTATACGTCCACATTCATAATGTGAACGTATTATGCCGTCGCCCCTGTCTCTGTGTGTGTGTGTGTGTATGTATGTATGTGTGTGTGTGTGTGTGTGTGTGTCTGTGGTTCGCCTACAGGGCGCAATTCTTCATGGATTTTCTTCAAACTTGGTATACTTATTCCTTATACCCCAAGGAAGATCCCTATTGTTTTTGGTGCATGCCCGACCCCCCGGGGCAGAGCCACGCCCATTTCTAGTATTTGTTTGTTTGTCGTCTACAGGCCACATTTCTTAACTAATAATCTTGAAACTTTGCATACACATTCTTTGTACCCTAAGGAACATCCCTATCGTTTGGGGTGCATGCCCAACCCCCAGGGGCAGAGCCACGCCCATTTTCTTTTCGTGTGTCTTTGTGTCGCCTACAGGGCGCAATTCTTACTGGATTTTCTTCAAACTTGGTATACTTATTCC